CCCCCCCCCCCTCGCGACCGTCCTCCCTCGCCTCCCTGGCCATGGCGGGCGTTCCGACCGACTCGGGCGACCCGCCCGCGCCGCACCGGCGCCCGCCCGCGCCGCACGCCCACACCGCCGGATCGTCGGACTCCCTGGCCGGCGGCCCGGTGGCCGGCAGCACGGCCATCCCCATCCCCCGGCGCAAGGCCCCGGCGCCGCTGCTGTCCACGCTGCTCGCCTGCTCGGCCGAGTCCGGCTTCCTGGCCGAGGATCCGCCCCTGACGCCGTGCCACCGGTACCCGGGGCTCATGTCGCCGGCCGACTGGCTGCCGCCGGCCCTGGGCCCGGGGCCGACCCCGACCACCGGCTGGCCGGGAGGCGGCCTGCCACACGGGCCCCCCTCACTGCCAGACTCGGTGCTTTCCACCCCGGGGACGGTGCTGATCCGCCGGGGCCCGGCCGGGCCGGGGGGCTTGGCGCCGCAGACCCCGCGCCTGGCCACCCTGCCTCCGGGGCCGGGCCATGGTCCGGCCGCCGGCGAGCCCCTCTTCATGCGCATGCACCATCTCCGGGTGCTGGAAACGCCGGATCTGGCCTTCGGCCGGGCGCCGGCCATCTTGCCCCACCCGGCTGCCGATGAGGACGCCCTCTCGCCGCGGCCGCCGCCCGGGGCCAGCCTCTCGGACCTGCCGTCCAGTCTGCTGGCCTTCCCGCCGGCCGTGCTGGAGCGCGCGGCCGCGCCGGCCGACGATCCGACCCCCCGGTGCCCCGGCTGTCGGGCAGCCAGGCGGGCCTCGCTGGACGCGTGCGCGCCGCCGGCCGGGCCCGGCAGCCCGGCCCCCGGCCCCCAGCCCGAAGCCGCGGCCGGCTACGACGACGATGGGTTCCCGATGCCGGATCCGCTGGCGGCTCGGACGGGCGGCGGCGGCGGCGGCGGCGGCGGCGGCGGCCTGTCGCGCAGCCACTCGGCCTGGTCAGATCTCGGATCGCCATCGGTGTCACGCTTCTCCTCGCCCAACCACCTCCTGGGCGACATGACCCTCTCGGATGAGAGCGATCTGGACCTGCTGCAGCGGGGCCTGCTCCTGTCCCCGGCGGCCGGGCTGGCCACGCCCTTCGGCGCGCGGCCGGGCGGGGTCTCGGCCGGGTCCTCGGTCGGGCGGACGCTGCTCTGCTCGCCCGGCGCCCCGGCCGGCGTCTTCCCGCTCAATGACCCGCCCTCACCCGGGTCACTGGGGCCGGCCGGCGGCCGGCTCTTTGACGAGTGGTCCTCCTCGCCGGAGCCGGCCCCGGCCCCGGCCCCGGCCGGCGGCGATGGCCCCCGGGCTGTGCCCGGCGACCCGGGGCCCGAGCTGATGCTCCACCCGGGGGCCATGGCTGACGGCCCGCCGGGCCCTGCGGATCTGATGCTGCATCCGGCGCTGTCGCCCAAGCGGCCCCTCTGCACGGCCTGCCACTCGGCCGACCTGCCGGCCCCGGCCGATGCATACACCACGCTCACCGGGACGCCGATTTCCAAGTCCACCGCTCAGAAGGTCCTGGCCGCCAAGGCTTGTGCGTCCTGCCCCCGACCGTGCCCGGAGCCCGGCGGGGACATGTACACCTGCGCCGCCGCCCCCCCCCCCCCCCCCCCCGCCCCGCACGCACGCGTGGACGCTTCTCCTGACAACTGCCCCCCTCCCGCCCGGTCCCGGCTCGCCGGCTGGCATCCGGCCACCTGGCAGACTTCGCCACGCAATACTCGCAGCAGCTCCAGTATGCCACCCGCCGCCACGAGCGCCGCGCCGCCCTCGAGGAAGTCATGTCTGAGAACCATGTGCGTTGATTCCCGCCGGGTGTCCCTCCTGCGGCGCTTGGCCGGCTGCTTGCCCGCCTGCCGCCCTGGGCTTCCATCCCTCTGCCGGGCCCTCCGCTAATCAGCCTCCGCTCCCTGTCTCTCGCCTGCCCCCCCTCTCGCCGGCGGCCGGGGCCGCCTGCCCTGTGGGCACAGTTCACCGAAGAGCAGCGGGCCGAATTGCGCCTGCGCCTGCAGCACTACGAGACGCGCATGCTGCGCCTGGCCCGGCGCCGGCCGAAGGTCTCGGAATATCGCTTCCTCCGGCAGATCGGCCGCGGGGCATACGGCCGGGTGTTTCTGGCCGTGGACGAGTCGCTCGACCAACAGGGGGCCGACCCCTCCGGCGAGGGGGGCACCCCCAACATCTGCGCCATCAAGCGCATTCCCAAGCCCCGGCTCGGGGACGAGTCGCAGGTTCGTCGACCAGTGCTCCTTGCCCCCCCCCCCCCCCCCCCCCCCTCCCCTCGCCAGGTCCCCCGATGGGCACCTGCCACATGGACGCTTGCATGCTGACACCCGGCCATATCTTGTCTGTGCGCACATGCGACATGTGCGCGTGACCGCGCGCGCGCGCGTGCACGGCGGCCGCGGCGGCGGGCGGCTGGTGGGCCCGAAAAAAAAAAAACACCCTGCAGGTGTCGGCACTCATCGCCGAGAAGCAAATCCTCAGCTCGCTGTCGCACTCGCCGTGGCATGTTCGCCTGCATGGCACCTTCCAGGACGACCGGTATCTGTACTTCGCCATGGAGTTCGTCCCGGGCGGGGATCTTCGCGGCCTGCTGGAGGCCCTCGGGTGCCTGGAGCATGCGCATGCGGCAACCTATGCGGCGGAAATGGTGTCGGCCGTGAGCGCCCTGCATGCGCATGGGTTCTTCCACCGCGATGTCAAACCGGAAAACTTCCTCATCTCGGCGGCCGGGCACCTGAAGCTCACGGACTTCGGCCTGTGCAGCGTGGCCACCGTCGACGGCTATGTCCGGGAAATGGAGCAGCGGGTATGCGCCCGGCCGGCCGGCATCCCTTCCTCGACTTTCCCTTCCCTTCCCCGGCATGTGGCCCCCGTTCGCTGACTCTCTGCCCACGCCGGCCGCATGTCTGGCAGCTTGCGGCACGGCCTGCCCGGTCGCCTGGCCATGCGCGCACTGTCTCCCTGACGCCGATGGCCGTGCGCGAAATGGCCACCCCGCTGACGTTGCGGTCATCGCGCTGGGGCCCGGCCGGGCGCACGGTGCGCGTCGCCGCCCCGTCACACCCCAAACGCACGGTTCACCGGGTGCGCTCCGCCATCGCGCCATCGCGCCATTGGCCTGCCCCCTCCTCGGCCGCCCTCTTTCCCGCGCCCTTCTCTGCTCCTCTTTGCCTTGCCACACGCCTTCTCCCCCCACGCCCGTTGGTCGCCCTCTGCCCCCTGCGAGCCCCATGTCTGACCCGCCCTGTCCGCCCCCGTCCGCCCCCCCCCCCTCCCACAACCGGTGCCAGTCCTTCTCACTGGTGGGCTCGCCCAATTACATGGCTCCGGAGCTGCTGCAGCGCGGCGCCGGATACGACTACCTCGTGGACTACTGGGCCATCGGGTGCATCTTCTTCGAGCTGATTTATGGTGCGCCGCCCCCGGCAAAGGGGCTCCTCGCTTTTGGTGTGCCTGTCCCTTCTCTGACCTCAAGCCCGGGCGTCGTGGCCGCCGCCGGGAAACCCCCGACAATGGTCAGGCTTCCCCCCATTTACGGCTCCCAGCCCGGAGGAGATCTTCGACAAGGTGGTCCGGTTCTCCGGGCGCCTGTCACCGGCGGACTTCTCCGTGGATTCGGCCAACGAGGAGGACCCGGACGCCGGCCCGGTGGGCCTGTTTGTCGACGCGTCGGAGGCCGATGCCCTGGACTCGGTGCGCGCGCAGCGGGCCCGTTGGGTGGCCATGCTGCAAGCCGGCGGGCCCAATCCCCTCGGCTGTGAGCCAAGCGCCCCGGCCGATGCCGGGCCCGATGCCTGGGAAGCCGACTGGCTGGAGGAACTGCACAATCGCCTGGAGGCCGTGCGCGCCTGGCAGCTGATTCATGCGTGCGCCCTGGCTCCCCGCCTTTGTCTTCCCCCGCCCCCTGGTCCTCGTTTGGGCCTCCATCGGCCCTTGCCCGATCCTCGCACCCCGCCTCCCTTTCCTTTCTGCTTCCTCTTTCTTGCCCCCCCCCCCCCTCCTGCCCGTGGTGGAACACCGCCCACCACCGCCATCCCTCGTCTGTGCACAAATGCACCCCCATGCATGTGCAGCCTGGTGGCTCTGCCCGAGGAACGCCTCGGTCGCGGCAAGGCCGGCCTCTTGGCCCTGCATGCGCTGCCCCTTTTCGCGGATATGGACTTTGGCAAGCTGCTCGATGCAGAGGTGCGTATGCTCGGCTTGCCGTACTTTAACCGGCCCCCCCCCCCACACACACACACACGCAGGCCCTCCAACACAAGACAATCGCCAACACGAGGGTCGCCCGCTGCCGACTGACATGTATTCATTCCCCCCGCCCCCCCTTCTGTTACTGCCACGGCGCAGCCTTTGTTCGTTCCCCAGCTGGCAGGGCCCTTGGACACATCCTATTTCACAGCCCCGGCCGGGGAGGAGACAGACCTCAGCGGGCAGGGCCTCCTCGGGGAGGGCCACGCCGCCACTTCGGCGCCCGGGCACGGCCCGCCGGCGTCACCGCCTGCACAGGCCCCGCTCACCCCCCAGGGTGGCCAGCACCGCAAGGTCATCGCCTCATTCAACACCATGGTCTGGGAACGCCGCGGAGTCGGGGGACCGGCCGGGTCTGGCAGCAGTCGCGACTTGTGGGCCGGTGTGCCGGCCGCCGCGGGGGCCGCCCAGCTGGACGCCCAGCCTGGCGGTTCGGCGGCTGCCATCCCCGGCGAGTCGGATCTCCTTGCGCGGGCCATTTCCCTGGGCGACCTGATCGGCAGCGACTCCGAACTCTTCCGGGTCCCGGACCAGGGGGCCCCGATGGGCGTGGCGGCCGCCGGTGCGGCGCCGCTGCCGGCGGCCACCACGCCGGACACCGCCAAGCCCCCCCGGAAGCAGGCCCGCCACTCGTCGTCCCCCTCCTCTTCCGACAACAACGACGACGAGGGCGGCGACGCCACTGACAATGGCAACCATGCGGGGGGTGCTTCTCCGCTGGCCGGAGGGTCGTCACCGCGCTGAGGGGCCCTTCCCCACGACGGGCCAATACACCAAGCATGTATGTCGAGAATCGCCGCACGGAAGGCCCCTGTGCAGCAGGGGAGTGTGACCGGGCCTCCGGCGGGGGCGGGACCAGCCTTATTCCGGCTCCGGGCGGTCCGTCGCCAGGGAAATTTCAAACAGCCGCAGATCCTCGAAGAGCCCGGGCGTCAAGTCCTCCGCGGCGCTGGAGGGCACGCATGCGCCCGAGCAGGGGCCCCCCGGGCAGGCTACCTCCCGGAGGGTGCCCAGATCGGCCGGCGGCAGGGGGACCTCCCGGCCGACCAGCCCCCAGAAGGCCAATGTCTCGGCCAGGGACCGGTAGGGGGACCGGTTTTCATAGGCCATCAGGGCCAGGGGGTGGCAATCCCGGCCCCGGGCCTGGGCCTCATGCAGTAGCAGGGCCAGTGTCTGCACAAAGGGCACGAACACTGGAGCCCGACCCCGGGCGGGGGGGAGGCGGGGGGGGGGGGGCACAGGAAACGGGCACGATCGCCAAACCAGTCAGAGCAAGCGTGTGGGCGGGCAGGCGCCCGGGCGAGTCGGCGGGCGTGCACGCATGGCGCGAAGGGTCAGAGCGAGGCCGAGAGGGGCGCAGGCCAAAGCCAGCAGCAACAACAGCATCCGACAAGGGGCCCGGCGGCACCGGGGCCGAGGACACGGCCGCACGCACTGTCAGGCTGGAAAACGCAGTCGGCCGCCAGCAGCAGGTCCGGGAAGGGGCTGCCCAGGCGGGCGACCATGGCCGGCGCATCGGCCGCGGCCCAGTCCAATGGGAGGACCTCGACACCGCCCGTGGCCGGCCTGGCCCGCGGGTTGAGGCGCACGCTGCGCTCGGCCGACTGGACACCCCCCTGGGGGAGGTCGGTCAGGACAACCCGCCGAGCACCGAGCAGAGCGGCCGTCAGCCCGGCCACCCCGGTCCCGGCGCCGAGCTCCAGCACGCTGTGCCCGGCGACCATGGCCGGCTGGTGGCGCAGGTGCAGGGCCAGCAGCAGCGACGAGCGCCACAGGGTGGTGGCGAATGGCGGCACGGCTCCCCGGCCTCGGCGGCAGGCCACGCTCAGGCAGGCCGCCGGCGCGGTGACGCCCGAGCCGAAAAGCAAGTGCACCACGTCCAGCGTGCCATCGGGGTGGCCGGGCTCTTCCGAGTGGCCGAGCGCCCCAGGGTGAGGGGCGCTGTCAGTGGCGGCGGCGGCGGCGGCGGCGGCGAGGGGCATGGTAGGTGCGAGGGGCGGGGGACGGGGGGCGGGGGACGGGGGACGGGGGCGGGGGGGGGGGGGGGGCATTCCGGCGGTGCCAATCGTGCGCGATCCGGCGGCACTTCTTGAGTTTAAGACAATCCTAAAGCAATGCTGGGCATGTCACGTTCCACGGCGGAATGCAATTCCGGAGGGGTGATACACACGCCCGGCGAGCCGCTCGTCCCCCCGCCGCCGCGCGCAGTGCGGGGAGCCCTGTGCACGGGCGAGGGGCCTCGCACAAGGCCGCAGGGGGGGGGGGGGGGGGAAGGACACGCCCGCCCCGGGCCGGCAGGGCCGAGGGACATGGGGCCGGCCTGTGCCCTCCGGTCGGCCGGGCCGCGGGCCGGGACGAGGGAGCAAGCGCGCCGGTCCACCAACCCCCGAGCGACAGAGGGAGAGAGAGAGAGAGAAAGAGAGGAAGAAAGAGCCCGCACGGTGTCTGTCTAGGCGTCTATTCCCGCGCGACCGGCGGGCCCTCGGCACCCCACCGGGCCGGGCACCCGGCCCGGCGCATCTCTCGCGCCATGGCTGCGGACGGGCGCGAATCCCGCGGGAGGGCCGGGCGGGAGGACGCCCACGAAGGGTGTAACAGACGGACGCACACACACGCACCCACACACACACACCCACGCATATGTGTGCGCGCGCGCGCGCGCGTGTGACCGTGCGCGCACCCACCTCTCCAGGCCGCCTTGGAGATGGGCCTCCCCCTGCTGCGCCCCTCCCTTGCTCTCTCTCTCTCTCTCTCCCTCTCTCCCTCGCTCTCTCTCTAGCGAGGGTGCCTCCCCGCGCCGGCGGCCGGCGACCGGACGGCTCCGGCACCGCAAAAGGCCACCAGATCGCTGCCGCCCCGACCGCCTGCCCATCGGCAGTCAACATCCCCCCCTCCCCCTCCCCCC